TATTCTTTATTGATACTGCTATCATTATTCCTGATTCGAAGACCTACGACAGGAACAATAAGTTCACCAAAGAACCTACCAACCACCGAGCACCGTTCCGATGTCCGCCCGAGGACGACCGTCCCAAACGGGGCAAAGGACTTCTGTGACGTGCTGGCCAGGGTCTTTGAGGCACCTGCACCTTTTTTTGTTGGGGCGGGGGGTGGGGAGGGGGGAAGGGAAGCACAGAGACTACAAGGTCTCTATACGGGTTACTCTAAATAGGGGTTCTAACACGGGTGAGTACAAGGGTCATCGTTTTTCTTTCATTTCACAGGTTCAGGGTTTGGGTGTTAAGGCGAGACTTTGAGAAGGTCGTGGTTTTCAGGTTTTGGGTTCTAAAGGTTTGGGATTCGGGGTTCGGGGTTCTCGTCCTTCCTCCCCGAGTCTTAATGCAGTTCCTCAGCCATCAGCCTGAATCATATCCGAAGTCTCCATCAGCGTACATCCTCCTTCCCGGCATCCATGCCTTCAGTCACGAAGCCCTGCACCAAGAAATCTTTCAACATGCCTTGACCTTAAAAGCCTGAACATCCCTGAGCCTAAACTAGATCTGAAATCCCTAAACATCGCTAGAGCTTTAGCTTCGAGCTGATGCCCAGGCCAACACGTACCGAGTGAACCCCGAACCTGACGATCCGACACTTGAAACTTGAATATTGCAGCCTTTCACCTCAAGCTTCGAAGGGCCGAAGCCACGAAGCCTACTTTAAGGGATCAGCAGGAGTAACAAGTAGGGTCAACGGAGTAGGTCAACTATGTAATTGCTCATCGCTCTGCCTATCACGTATGACCCGAGTTACTACGCCCTCTGTTGTGCTTCGTTCATGAGGGCGAACAGCAAGTACTAGTTCTTGAAACTGCTGGGAGAACGTTCTGGCTTCAAGAAGCCGAGAGGTCGCCATATGTGAGAATGCAGAATCGAACTAGTCCCTATGCACTTCAGGGTCAACAACTAGCTTGGCTAGACATGGCAGAGTTCTCAGGGCGTGAAGGTCATGACCAAGCTTGAGTTGGACCGTGCGAAGAACGCCCTGTCCTCCAGTGCGCCGGGAAGGGGCAGCTGCGACCGGAAGCCCGGAAAAATCCCCCAAGAAGCCCTCAATGCTGATGTTGTTGTCGACTTTCTCGGGGAACGTCTGTTGGGGAGCCCGGCTCCAGGGGCCCTCGAGCGCCTCGAGCGCCTCCTCCATTTTGGGAGGTATGGTAGACGTGTTGGGCGCGAAGATTCTGCTTTCAGTATTGGTAGAGGGAGCATGGGAAGCAATTTCTGCTGCTTTGTGAGGGTAAGGCTGTGCGTGAGTTCCCGCACGACGTCGCTGACTGAGACATCAACGATTCGAGCGTCACAATCCGAACCCCAAGCAATCCCTTGACGACATAGCACTTTTACGAAGCCCAAAGCGGATAAAAGCAGGTGGGCCTGACGAATCCGCAGCCCTACACCCTCGAAGCACTCACTACCCCCTACGCCATCCTACGTCCAGAAAAATCCTACACCGCTGAACCCCCAACGGCTCAAACAAAGATTATAAACCCTCACAAACTCAAATTCCCAGAAACCATCACAAGCTCGTTGCCTACGTTTGCAGGTATCCACATGAACCTGGAGATGCCTGGGCCCGAGTTTGTCCTGGGAAACCTGCTATAGACTTTACTATAGACCGATAGATTATTACAGAACCCGAAAGATAATCAACCGATAGCGATTGCAGTTCGGGCATTCGGGGATCGACCAGGCGGGCCGTGATGATGGAGGACCTCGGCCGCCAGATGGTCTTGTCCGGCAAGGTGCAGACGGATACACGTAGTTTTAGTGTCTTAGTGTGAGTTTCGTTAGTGATTAAGTGCTAGTTGAAGTCTTTACTAGATATCTTCAAAATCTGGTACGGCATCGAAGATAACGCCTCCAATCGCTAAACTTCGGACGTCAGACTCAAGGCTAGACCCACTACCAAGATGTCGAAATCTCAATCCGCAAGCTCGCCACTGCTACTGCTCAAATCCTAAACTCTGGAACCCTCAGACCTTCAACGACGAAACTCGGAAGCTTTTTCAAGAACAGTAACCCTGCGGAAGGTTGGCACTGCCAAGGAGTTCACCCAGATGGTGGAAGAAGTTGAGAAGGACGCTGACAAGTTTATACCCTGAGCACCCTTAAACTCTGTAACCCCACACCATTTGCCGTGAAGCCTTATGCCGCAGACCCTCAGCTCAAGGGTCACTGTGCTTGACTTTCGTTGAGGATCTTTGGGTTTTGGGCACTTCGAGTTCAGGATTCGGGGTTTAGGGCAATGGTTGAGGGTGTTCCAGTCTGCTACCCGTGACGGACAAATGTGCCACGAGCACGCCGGGGCTCATTTTCGAACTGTGTTCTGCCTGTGCTGAAGACGCGTGGCCACCAGGAAGACCTGATCGAGGTCATGCGAGTGGGCAGGGATCTTAGCACACCAGCGTACTGGCTGCAGATCTGTGTTAGTACCATCTCTCGTTTCGACTTGGCATTTAGCTTGCTTGCACCTGGGTCTGTGTCCTGCATTCTGAAACCCAAATCGGAGCAACCATTCCTGCTTCGCCGAGTACTCTCATCACGCCCCAGCATCGTAGCTTTCGGCGCCATCGACAAGGCCTGCAGCTACCTTTGCTTGCAGATTGCACGTCCGCGGTTTTTCTGAATCCTCGCTCGCCCTCCTCAATCTGATGATGGCGCACAAGTCCTAGGATGTCCTAGGTCTGTAGTGTGTCAGAGCCCCCTGTCGTCGCAACAGGAAGAGCTCAGCATGTGAGAGTTAGGAGGCTTCCCACTTGCCGCCCCAGAGAAGCAAGACGGAAAAGAACTCTTAAAGGGAAGCCTGAAGGCCTACGCGGCCTTACAGTGTCGGGCCACGTTGAGGTGCCTTCCTTCGAGGTCATCGAACAGAAGCAGCAGCCTCGATCCACGTGACGCGGGCACCCTGAAGACTTGGGGTTTCAGCTCAGACACTCCAATGCCAAGAACAGGCCCCCAGAAGACCACCCCTGCCAAACCGACTGTGCTTGCGGGGGGGTGTTACATTCGGGTTCGAAGTACATTTCCGCCTGTTCCGACGGGTCCAGTAGGAATCCCAGTATATGTGTTTTCCGTGGGACATTCCACCTGCGAGAATGTACTTGCGGGTCTTCGGTCATGGACCCTGGAGCAACAAACAGCAACGAACCATGTGCTGGAGGGGTGGGTGGGGGACCCCCACAGTTAATTAGTTGTTGGGGGTGGTCCCCAGGCCAAATTCGAGCTGCCCCGGGGTCATATTTTTGCCTTTTTACATCAGGAGCATTGGCATGTGTTTACTTGCAGGGGCAAGTATGTGGGGATGCTATTTCCCGTGATTCGAAAGAATCCTACAAGACCCGGAAGCTTTGAGGGCCGATGGAAGGGGCCTCCGAAATCTTGAGGGCTTTGCAGTACAAAGCCCCCAGAAAGCTCTGTAAAAACCGTTTACGAAACCCTTCTTCAAATTCCTTGCCAGGGCTTCCCCCGCTAAGAAGATCCCTTAAGGAAGGTATGAACGAGCGAAGCCACAGGAAGGTCCCCCTCTGTTCTGACCCAACTGCCCTCCGAGGTTCAAGGGCGTGAGACTTCCAGTTTCGAGGAAGCACAATCCGCAGGATCAAGCGAGCTAGGGGCTGCGGAGCAGATATGGGGTCCTGCTTAGGGGTCTTTAGCACAGGGGGTTCGACATGTCAGGGTTTGCATGAAGGTCCCTAGCTATCTGAAACTCACACCCAGATGGGGAGAGTGTGCATGATCTGTGACCCTTCAATCACCCACACCAGAGTAAAGGGCACGTGAAGGGCCATATCTGCATGTTATATCTTAGGGCTAGGAGGCAGAACTACAGGTTGCTGAATGACACAGGTTTCTGACACATCCGGCTTAGACTTGATCAGGCATGGTGCCACAGTTCAGGCCTCTGTAGAGTTGGATCTCACGGCTTCAAGTCTTGGACTTCGTATTTCGGCCACCGTTGGCGGGTCACCATTTTCGTCGGAGATGCTCTGCCCCGCCTCGCATCCGGCGGGAGTTCTGTAGGTCTAGGTGTAGGGTCCGGGGGATTTTGGGATCTTGCGACGCTCGATTTTCCCAAGGACCACCGGTTGAAGCTCAGGCTAAAAGAAAAGACAAGATGATGGATGTATTTGCATTGACCCACAGAGAGACAGAGAGAGAGAGAGAGAGAGAGAGAGGGAGAGAGATAGATAGGTATATAGCCCTGGCCAAAGAAAGACAGATAGATCGATAGACAAAAAGAGATTGATCTGTACACATCATGTTTGTGATATGTTTCTGTGTAGATATATACACGCATGAGCAACAATAAGCAAGAACCGACACATAGGTGCATACATGATGACCATACATGAACAGACGTGTTTGCAGCGTGTATCCTTAGAATGTGGAGGCATTGTTCGACACTTCCATGCAGTGCTACCTCGATTCCTGGCTGTGGTTGCGATACAAGCAGCCAAATGGTTAAGCACAGGCCCTTGATTGGGCCAGCCGGGCCCACTGTGACCATTGGAAGCTGCAGTGGTCAAGTTCAAGTCGTGTCACATGCACGCAGCTGTTTCGCTGAGCCAGGCTAGCCGGGTTGTTTGGCCTGGTGCATGCAATCCTTGGCCTACGCCCAAACCGAATCCGGAACTTTGGACTCCTCAATGTCCAAGCCAGACTTTCTCAACCCCACGCACCAAACTGCTTCACATCGCACCCACACTGCCCGTAAGAAGTTCAGGCGCTAAACCGTCAGCCAGAATTGCGAACTCTTGCTTCTTGAGCCAAATCAGGTCCGAAACAACAGACCCATAGCTTTGAATCCACAAACCTAAAATGCAATCCATGCACTTGAAACAGTGGTTGAAGGCTTCCAGTCGGAAGCTCAGAGGCCCCTAAAGTCCTAAAGCCACAGAGACGGCCTGGTGCCATGGAGACATCGGGGCTTGGCTTGTGCGATGCGCCTTTCCAGCATTTCTTTCGCGCGCACGCGTAAGCATCGGGAGGTGCGGCCGTTGATGTCTTGTATATAGGGTCCTTCCAGGGCTTGGGGTTTGGGAAAGCATCCTCAGTAGGTTGTGGACGGCAGTGTTGAGAATTTACTGCCTTGGTGCCAGAGTTCAACACAATTCCCAGGCCCTAAACCCTAAATCCTATCCAACCCACTGCCAAGTTTGCAGGCTCACTCAGCTGCATGGCAAGATCTCCCTTGAGATCGAAATCCTTGTCCACAAGCACACGCCGAAACCCTCCGCCCCCCAAGCATGTTTCAGGTGAGTCGCACCCAAACTCCTTTTCAACTAGCTGGAGCTACTTTTCCCCAGGCCTGCCTTGCCAAAGCGAAGCCCCAAAAGCGCCTCTTCACGGACTAGAGGGGTCTGAAAATTCGCTCGCAATAACAGTATCCCTCGTCCTTATCATTTGGTAGTATACTCTACGCCCAAAGCCCACTTCTAGTTGCCAAGGCCTTATCATGAAATCGAAACCCCCTGTCGATCCCTGATGTAACCCCCCATAATCCGTATAAACCCTTACTAGTCCCCTATAAAACCCGGCAAAGCCCTCATGCTGCTGATTCCAAGGCCTCCTTGCCTCGCGAGACTGCCGCGGCCTTCGAGAAGTGGGCTCGGGAGCCCAGACTTCTCGGTGCTTCTGCCGTTTTTCAGGATTTGGCATTTACAATGACAAAGTCTATGAGTGCTAGGTTCATGATTCATGGGTCAATATGGGAGATAGTGTGTGGTTCAAGGTTCAGAGTAAGTGAATAAGTTTGATCGGGGCGGTGAATTCTTTGCCTCAACATGCCTCAGCTATCGCCGTTTCGTTTTGGGATTGCTTCCTTCTCCAGGCTGCCGAGAAGGTGCGCCATCCCGCGCTCCCCGAGCTCGCGGCGCCCGGGGCCTCAGCTTCGGGCATCCGATCCTCACCCGGACTTGAAATAGAGTCCTGCAGTATATAAGAGTAAAGGGAAACCTCAGGAATAGTATCCAGTATTTATTCGTGCGTCTATGCCAAATCTGGCATCAGAGCGAGTCGACAACTAGGGGGTTGGTTCCCTGAAGGTTTCCTGGGGTTCAGGGGTTCTGGTTGTGGGTTTGGGGTTTTGGGGCTTCGGGGTCTGGGGTGCAGGGTAACTCTAACCACTGTACCCCTAAATACCCTGAACGCCTTAAATCCTACACTCTGGACGGTAACCTGCCATCTCCTTTTTGCCTGCCAGCCCCCAGGAGCTTTCAACTGCGTCGATCCGACTCGCCAGGAGCTCAGCGGTGAGCTGTAGGCTTAGCCATGGACTTCTAACCTAGTCTATTCAGGGTCACATGAAATAGAGCCCAAAGAGAAGGACGGCTTCCGTTTGTTACGAAGCGCCTGGGGCGAACCGAAGCCAACCTCGACGGCACATCCCCGTGAGCACCATTGACCAGCTAAACTGATTCAGCAAGCTTGGGATTGGTAGCGTCTAGCTGGATTGCTTGTGCATGAGGGTCCTGAGCATTTGGGAGCTTGTGCCACGATCGTAGTTATCAATTCTACCTCAGACACCAGCACTCATACAAGACAAACTTTGGCGCTGCTGTGGTTCTCCCCCAATTCCTCAACATGGCGTCGGTTTTATCCCTTCACCCCGGCAACACTTTATCAACAACACCTCAACGTCCCTCAACCCCAAATCTTTCTCAACCAGGCCGCAACGATCTGGGAGTCTCCTATATAGATTCTAGTTTGTAGGTTTCCGATCGGCTAAGACAGCCCCACATGTCTCCCTTTCGACGAGGCTAGGGGTCCATGCTGTGGCGAAGAGCGCCATTGCCACGGGACAGGTGATCATCGCAGAGGACCATTAGTTGTAAGTAAGGTGTAGTTATGATTCCTCATGTCCCCGATTGAGGTACTGAGAACCCTCTTTTTACAAAGACCCCCTAATCCACGAATCACGTTCAGCTACGGTACCTTATCTGTGAGGTACGCTCAGTCTGCCACTTTGCTCGACATCTCCTGTTTAGTAGTCAAGCAATCTCAGACTTGCTTTGGTCAGTAGATCACTGGACTTGGTAACCGCAAAGATCCCCGGCATCGGGCTGAAGGGCTGCCGAACTCCGGGATGTGCATAGGGCTGGGTGCAATGCCTCAAACCCAGAAGAAGGCCGGACAGAAGATTCCTGCAACGTCTCGTGCCTGCTCCAACTTACAGGTCCCGTGATCTTTTGATTTCGGGGGGCCCCATAGATTCGAGTTTCCGAGCACGGCACGTTTGTCCAGGGCTTTGTTGGTTCCGGTGCCATCAGGATGCGCTGATACGCCTTCCCTCTCCGCGCGTGTCAAGCAGGCTGGTGCCGACACGTTGTGAGGCTTTGGAGCTAGGTGGCATGGTGGTCAGAAGATATTAGCACTGCTTGTGCGGTTGTTGTGTATTGGAGTGGGCTCTTGTAACTGGTGGCACCAGCGGTGGCAGAAGCCGACACAGGAGCATCCTCCAGCGTTACGGCGAGCTGGAGGCATGCCAAGAGACACCGAATCGTTTGTGGCGCATCGTAGACTTGATGGATGACGAGCCTAGCACAGTCCAGACGTTTTGACTTCATCTACCTACCTACCTAGCCAGCTATCTATCTACTGGTATGTATAATGTTGCCTTCCCCTTGGTGTGTGGGTCCAGTCTGCAAGATCTTCATCCGTGCGTCACGGGGTGAAAGCTTCGGTGGTAGTATAGGAGTCTTCATACGTAGTCATTCTAGTATCGGTGACCTGCTTGTATGTATAGTTACACGCACTCATACAGTGTCCCGAACCGTCTGTTGATTCTTCCCGAAGTATGGTATGGTGGGATCAACGTAGGGAAGCTCGAGCCCTGTCTAGCATTCTAAGAGCCTAATCCCATATGCCATAAACCCTGACCCGACTCGGATCCAGTGTATCGGGGTCAAGAAGTGCTGGTAAAACACAAGATCCTGCTACGAAGACCTCTCCAAAGACTCTCGACTCAACCGTACAGTTTCCGTTTCACAGCCGCATTCAGGATGGAGGCTACGCTTTTGGGCCGAGTTCCAGTCAATCCCAAAGCCTTACCGTACCGTCCTTTGCCCTAAACCCTGAACTTGGCAGGGTTTCCTGACCCCTGCCATCTGCGTGGACTGGAAGTCCACCTCCCAGGCTGGGATTTGCAAATCCGACACCTAGAGAGGCCCGCGAGCCCCAACGTTTTTGCTTTGGGTTGTAGATGTATCCCATTTCCGGTTTCCCCCAAGGGCTCCACGTCTGATGCTGGATCCCCAAACCGGGAAGCCCGAGACCCCTTTCATGCTCTTCCCGCATTAGTATCCCTAACCGCGGCCCTCAGCATCGTAACTTTGATGCAGGAGGCGAGAGAGGCCTGCCTCACGCTCTTCTACGCACACCCTGAGATGGAAAGGACGCGCGGGGAGCGCGAGAGCCTTCTCAACCCCCCCCCCAAGAGACGATGGGTACTGTATGCTTCTGGGATCGATGAGAAGTCAAAACTACCGCGCTGAGAAACTGCAACGCGCTCGTAAAGGCTGGGACAAACAGCCCCTTTTCTCAAGTAAGTCCCGACTCATACTGTAGATAGATTGCTCCATTTGGACAGGAGGAGCTCAAATAAGCTTTGCAAGGACTTTGCATCCGTGCACTCCTGACTCTGGTTTTGCATTTCCTTGAAACCCTACGCTCTAAATCGCGCATTTCTAGGAGATCCTGCTCCGACAGCATGCACAGCAGGGCGTGCCTTGTCTTGCAGGTTTTTGGACTTCGGGTTTCAGGATTGAGCTTGGGCCGGTTGCGGGTTTCGGTTCGAGGTGTCGTGTGGATCTGAAGCTTACGACGCTAGAATGGCGAGAAGTCAGGCATTTGGGCTCGTAGGAAGCTATCGCAAGATCCAGTCTTCACTTTCCGGGTTCACGTGCAGTGCGGTTCACCATCTCGGATTGTGAGTACGACTCCGCTGCGGTCGCTTGCTGAAAGGTTCAAGGGACATACAGAACTAAAAAGAATGTTCTGTTCCGAATCTAGCCGTGTCAACAGTGCAGCGCAGACCCGCAGGACATCACATGCTCTGGCTTTTGCGCACAGTCACAACTGCCACCAAGTGCCCTTGTTTGCTTTACCCCTCCCAACAGCTTCGCTAAGGTGCGAAGACCTGCTCCAGATGAGCCCGGAGCCGCCATCTCAAAGCAAAGGTACGGGGGTGGGGCTTTGGGGTTTGGTGCTTCACTTCATAACTCCTGGGACAAGGATGTTTCGCATCACAGAAAGCACCTGATAAAGTTGATACGGGGTCCAGAACAAGCACCAGTGGGTTTGGGGATGTTTGGGGCATATTTGGGTTCATGTTGTATGAGGCCGAGTTTACGTTCGACCGCTTATTCCGACCTCTATATCAATATCCCAGCAGTTTCAAAAGTGTGACTTCCCCGCTCTGTTTGGTCTGAGGCTCCGCTGTCTGGGCTGGAGCAGCACCCAGCTCCTCCGCTTCCTGCCCCCCAGCCGCACTTCCGCGGGCCTCATGTAGGGGTTCAGTTTACTTCAAGAAAAGGGCCTAGGGCCTAGGGCATGGTCTCATCTGGTGTGGAGTTTAGGTGTTCAGATGCAGAACATTGAGTCAGGGGTTCGAGGCCCGCGGGCTTCCAGGATGCAGGGTTTGGCGGTTGAGTGGGTGGCAAAGTTTCGGTGGATCTCGTGGATCTCCGAGGCACATCGTCGACCTCAATATTCACAAAGATGACGAGAGGCTATGGCCAGAGAGTTCGCAATGCATGTTGTCGTGAATGCATTGTTCTACTATGCCCTGAATGTTGCAGCCTTGTTTGTGACTGAGTGCCGAAGACAACGCTTTCCATGCCCATGGGGACGGTTCTTTCTGCTTTGAGTTTGAGGTTTTTCGAAACCATTCCGGCCCTCCCCGACACTTGCAGACTTGCAGGCCGGCGAACGACGAGTTTACGGGCATCTTTGTCCTGGGAGCCAGACTTAGCAAGATGGCAGGGTGCCCGTTGAAGTTCCCAATTTCCAAGGCTTCTCTTCCCTAGAGGACAAAACTACAAGAGAGACCAGACAGAACCACATTGCTCTTGTCCATTTTTCAGGCTTGTTGCTGTTTTGGGCAGTCCATAATGCGGGTGGACTTCGTCTATCAGCAGTATCAACGGTCTCATCAGTTTGAAGACATTCGAAGAGCCTGTGTCGCTTCCTTTGCGGGCCTCTCGAAAGGAAGGCCTAGGCACCTGCAACTGTCCGCGACTTTACCGATCAGGGCTACCTTGAATCCAAAGCATCCCAAAGCCCCTCGCATGGAACCTTACCCTGACCACCAGCCTCTGCAGTCAAGATCCGAAAACTGTGATCTCCTGCACCCAAAGCCCTCTACCTCCTTGCTTCAAGCCTCTGAAGGTCTGTTGGCTTTGCTTAAGGGGTTTGGGGATCGGGCATTGTGCCAGGGCGTAGGGCTTGGGGGCTCAAGGTTTCGGCACAGTAGGCTCCGATCAGTGCTCGAGGCTCGAAGTTTTCGCACAGCTGCGAACCCAACTCTTCGTGGCACCGCGCTTAGACCCGGGGTGCTGTCCCAGCAAGGGTGGGTGTGTGTGTGTGTGTGTGTGTCTGGGATTATTGCCATTTATCGTGTAGTTGCGGTCTAAATCGTTGTTAGTTGTGGTCTCAAGTCCTCTGAGTAGATGGAAGAGAGGAGCAGGTGACTTAAGGGTAGTTAACTCCATAACCCCAGACGCAGTGTCCCAGCCCTCAATCGTATCCTCATTGTTTTAAGCCCCTACGCCCCAGCACCGATGCGCGAAAAAGCGCACACATCTCAGGAACTTTAATCGGGAGGGCCACCTTGAGTGCCAGCCTCGGTGACTTTGGGGGGGGGGCAGGGCATGAGGTAAAATGTGTCGTTCGAGATCTTGGAGTTCGGCCACGGGCGACAGGTATCGGAGTCAGCACAGTTGCTATCATGCTATTGACCGCTATTGCTGTTGTGACTGGCGCTGATGTTGCCATTCCCTTTTTGCACCGCCGGCGGCCCCTCCTTGTTTGCCTTCCTCCCTAGCCTAGGTATCGAGCCATACGCCCCATTCATCCTGGCGATGTGCTCACCTTCTCCTACGTGGGCAATGGCATGAACTTGTGCAGACCTGAGTTGAGGTCGGAGAAGCATCATGAGAGTTTCAGAGAACATGGGCTCCCCTAGGCCATGCACTCCCCAGACCTTTTGTCTTCGGGTTTTTGGGGGTTCTGGATGAGCCGGTGGGACGAAAGGCAGGCGAGCTCGAAACTTGGGATGAGGTTTCCTGGTCCAGATTGTCCATTTCAGGGCTTCGCGATGGAATGGCCACTTTGGCCTCGTTGGAATGCTTTCGAGCAGGGGACATTTGGAGTCTTGACGTCATCGGAGTGATTGCAATGATGATCGCGTAAGGTCATCCTGTGGTCTAGCAGGCTTGCGGCGCTGTTGCGAGCTGTCAGTTATTAACAGTAACGAATACATACTCCAAGGATCACGAGTTGCTTCGAGCGTCGGCGCCGCTTGGCGCAGCTTTGCTTCCTTTGCCGCTGCGCGCGGTGTGAAGGACGGGACAACCGTGGAAAGCCGTGTTCCCTGAACTCCGGAAACGCTCAATCCTCCAACACCCGAAACCCTCTGCATCGTTGTCGTACTCCCGGTGCTGCTGTTGTGGCGTGGTGATTGTTGTTGTTGGCGGTGGTTGTAGTTGGAGGCGGTAGCACCGGCGGCAGCAGTTGCGATTCTGCCGTGCTGCTGCTGCAGCTGATGCCGCTTGTGCCGCCCCAGGCGGCGAAGCCAAACGGCCACAGCCCTGCCCTTCGCCGACGCGCAGGACCGGACCTCGGCCGAACTCTGCGCTGCCCGCGCTGCAGCTCCCAGCGCTGCGAGCCGAAGCCCAAGGGCCGATGGAACTCGCGATTGAACCGCACGATGGGCTTAATGAGGTTCTAGACTCAGGGTTTTGCTTTCGGTGTTCAAAGCCGCAAACTCCTTAAAGCCAAGACAAAGCTGCGCCTACTCCCAAACCGAAGATCGCATGTTGACAACTCCGAGCCGCAACGCCTACAGCCCAACAACTCCCACATCCTGAACCAGTCACCAGCCAGAAACCCTACGCCCTACTCTACATCTTAGATCTCCTGCACTATGCACACCCGAAGAGCCCGACATGGCTGCAGAGGCCCATCTACGAAGAGCAGGACTGGGTGCCGCCGGTTTGGGTCCACTCTGGTTCTTGCTAGCTCGAGGTTGGAGACATCAGGGTTTAGGGTTTGGGGTAGAGCGAGGCTTTCGGGCTGTGGGCACAGACTAAGGGTTTAGTCCCTGTTGTACTTCGACGGAGACTGCGAAGGTTGGCCTGATAAGACGGATGCGGATCATGACGGTGATGGTGGTGATGCTGGTGACAAAGGCTCCCCGGTCGTCATCGTCGTCAACCGGAGTTGCCGTAGCAGTGTGGAGTACAGGTAAATTCAGAGTAGGAGTCACCAGGAAACGTGGTTGAAAGTCAAGCAGTAGTAGCAACAGTACTTTGATAGCCGTGGCGGCAGTAGTTGCATCAATAGGAATGGCGCTGAAATCATAGTGCGACGAGGATGATGTTGTGTTTATGACGATGACGATGAGGACGAGAGCCGGCTGAGCTCAGCGTTTGCGCGCTCGGCGGCGGTGGTTGATGCCTCACGCTGGAGGCATATGGTCGGTTGAGATTCTAGGTAGGTAGCATTTCATAGTCCAGCTGACATGATTCTTCCATGCATGTTTTTTGAGGTTTTCCGCACTGTCTCGAGGTGAGGTGTGAAGTGACCCCGATTTCCGCAAAGGAGCGAATTAAAAGGCCGCTTCTGCTAGAGTGCAAGGCATGTTCTGGATTCTGGGTTTGGGGTCTGGGGCCAGAGTCTGGGGCCGGCGTGTCGGGCAGTCGGCATATGACCGGCAGGTGTGGAGCGTGCGGAGCCGTTGTTGCAGCTGCCGTGATGCCCAGCTTCCTGCCTTCGGGCCACGAGCCGGAGCAGCGTTCCTGCCTTTCACGTGCAGCACGTGCACGAAAACTCTTGAATCTCGAGCTTCATTCTGGGAGACAGGGACCGAGCCCACGCCTGCAAGCACGGACCCTCAGACAAAACCCAAACTTCTATATCCAGAGCACAAGCCTGCGGGGCCACTGCCGTTCCAAGACCAAGCTGTTAGCCGGAAGCTCCATGTGCCCCTATGGTACGTGATTCCAAGGCGGAGCTGCCTTTGGAAGCTGAAGAGGAGCTTGCCAGCCTTGTGTCGGGAGCCCAGGTTGTGCAGGATTGTTAGACTCTCATATCCCTTAATTTCAGGCTCCTACTTACTGCAATGTGAGGAAGATCACTTAATTCAATCATTTGGAGTCTCTGTGTCTTTCAACCTGAGTCAAGGGCCATGAGCTTTTGGTGGTAAGATTTCGGGTTCATGGTTTCAGGGTCGAGGGTCGAAGGTTCGTGTCTGGGCCAGTCCTGCTGCTGTCGATGCACTAACCGACTTCCGAAACCTAGTTACTTAAGAACCCCGTTGTTCAATTTCAGATTATTGACGTGGATCCTGTTGTTCTGGGGGTTCAGAATTCGGTCAACTCAGCACTGCCAGACTGCTTCCCCTACTGTTTCCAGCATTTGCTTTCTTCTCCTACATCCCCTCTAAACCCCGTATTGTTCATGATACGTCTTTGCATGAGTGAAATCCTGCAGGACATTGCGTCTCATCCAAATTGAGATTCGAGGGGTGAGGGCGAGGGAAGTGTGCGAACAAGCGTGCTGCTCCTCTTGTCAGGGGTCATGCTCTCTTTTTTGTCCATCTGGGACGTTGAAGGCCGCCGCGAGAACACCCTGAAAACTCAAAACCCCCAAGGCTCTTCGACAAGACGCACCGAAAAGCCACCAAACGCCCCAAATTGCATAGCTCTCCTTTGGAGGGCTGAGTCTTAACTAGCCTGAACCGTAACCGTAAACTCTCAACCCCAATTACCGTAAACCTTGGCCAAGGCCACGGTATATGCAAGGCCCTCCCCGGATGGCCGCTGAAGATGTCCCCTGGCCAACAGAAGATCTAGGACTAATTTGTGCCGACACGTTGAGGATGGAAAAAGGTAGCAAATTTAAGGAGAATTCGGGGGGGTCTAATTCCGACCATAATGCTAGCAATGCAATATTAATAGCACTAGACAACAGCGGTGCCTGTGAACAATGTTGAAGGCTTGTCACAGGACGTTTTGAACGGAATTTCGGCCCGTCCGCTTGCAGAAGCCCGGAAACTCACCCGTCTACAGTAAAAGCTCTCGGGAAGGAAGGGTTTTGTTGGACTCCCCCCAAACCCCTCACTACCAAGCAGGCAAACGGAAGGATCCAGGTTGACTGTTTGGAGCTTTCTGGTCCATTGCAGCTCAGGCCGAAAGCCTTTGCCTGGTTCCAAGCTTCGGCGACTGGCGCTGTCGTGTGAAGTATACGAACACAAACCAGATCTCGGGAGGATTTCGGCCTTGAATCTACAGCTTAGGGCACAGAGTCTAGGTGCAGAGTTTCGAATGCAAGAGGCTGCGATCAAGCTGCAGACTAATCCGCACAGGCCGAAACACCGAAACCGTGGTCCTGCAACCGCAAAGCCTCCATCGCCTGATTCAGACAGCTTGAAAGTCCAGCGGCCCAGGGCAGCTTCGGGAAAAGGCGGCTGCTGTGCTAGGCGCGGCCCTTGCAAGCGCTCGCTTCAGTCGTTCTTTTACTTCCCCGAGCATCAACGGGCTTGGGGGTGTACTTCTCGGTACCTCAAGTTTGGTAAACCCCAGGAGTTTCCACCAAAGCCGATCAGTTCCCGAGCTTCAGCCAGCAAAAGGCGAAGGCCATTGGACGTGGTTCCTGGCAACCTTCGCCTGGCGGGGGCCTTGTGAGCAGGTCTGAGTCCAGCAGTTCAGATGAACCCTCCGCAAGTGAAGTCGCACATGCCCGGCCAAAGCCTTGCTACAGGTCATCTGCAGATTTGATTTAGACTGCAGGGTTTTGGGCTTGAGGGCTTGAGCCGGCTCAGCCAACCTCAGCCGGAAGCTACACACAACCCCAAAACCTTGAACTTCTTAGCAGCCCGAAACCCCGAACCGCTGGAGCTTTGCACCTTAAGTCCTCGACCTTGAAAGAGGCGCCAGACCGAAAGAAGCGCACACGCTGAGACGTGGTCTGAGGCTTCAGAAGTGCCTCGTGCGCCTGAAGACGGAGACTGTGGTGCCCTTCGGGGAGGTCATCTTTGGAACTTCTATGCTTCTTCTTATCATCCGATATCCATCTTCTTATCATATTCAGAGATTTCGGATCACTGCTACTAATGAATAATATGGTTGATTATGACTGGTGTTGTTCGGTTTTCAAAGGCTTTTGGGTTCAGCATCACTGTCTTTGGGGCTTAGAGGCTCGACTTAAAGGAGGATTCGTGGGATTCGATCCGCCTCGTTTAGGGTTCACCATGACCTGAGAGTGTAGAGGGTTTCAAGTTGAGGGTTTAGGGCTGAAGTGTGTGTGTGTGTGTGTGCAAAGTATGGGAGTTGTGGTGCAAGGCAAGGTTCGTGGTTTCGCGGGCTAACGCAGATTTTTGCACAGCATCCCAGCCCAACACTACTGAGCAAGTTAATGCTAAGACCTAGTCCAGTCTTTGCAGGTGGGTGTCGTACCGAACGGAAAGACAAAGAATGAAGAACCAACTGCACGCTCTCGCTTCGCACTAGTTTGGTTGTTCGACCTCCCCGAGCCCGAGCTTGGACTTGCAACGAGAGCGCCCAGTTTGCTGTGTGCACACCCAATATCTGCTTCGAGGCACCCAGAGAGAAGCTAGTTTATACGTATCAGCAGCGGAGCCCCCAAGCTCCACATAAGGACCCTTAATCCCATAACCCCAGAAGGCCGATCTCCGTGCCGCCTCGGCAGCCGCCGAAAAATGGCTTCAGGCGCCTGCGGCTGGGGCCAGGTTACCCATGCACGAAATCCTTCAACCACCTTTGCTTGTCGTCATCACCCCCACCCACACCATCATAATCCTCATCATGCTCCTTGCCGCATCCGGCCAGACCAGCGAGCGTTCTCCTGAACAAGGTTCCTAAACCTGAAGGTTGACCATCGGGTTTAAAGCCGAACATGATCAAGCCGCAAACCCTCCGCTGCCAGAGCCGCGCCACGATGTGCATCGAGCAGCGGCTCTGCGCACTTTTCCTAGCCAGCTGGCTGCACAGAAATCTCGAGAGTCTTGCCTCGAGTCTTGAACGGAGACGGAGAGTGTAGTGCTTGGTCTTAGTCGTAGTCCCCCAGGCTGCACGCCTGGCGCTCCAGTACGGAGAAGGAGTGCCTTGGCTAAGCCCAAGGAGCGCTGGGGTCTGGGCTCGGGGCAGCTGAAGCTTGTAACGTCGTTCGACTCGCTGCGCTGTGTACCCACGATCTTCTTTCTTTGCTTTTGCTCGCGTCAGTTGGGCTTGTTGTAGATACTGGTACACCCTTGGTACTGTTTATTTTTCGTGGTCGCCGTCTGGACTTGGGGGTGGTCTGACCCGAAGGTTTAATTTCCCGTCTCTTGACTGGAAAGCTGCAGCTGGAAACAGAGCTTTGACCTGATCCGGGCGCAGAAGGATGCGGAAGGGCTGTGGAAGGTGTTGCTCTGCAGAAGGGCGCGAAAGCAACCAATGCGCAAGCCGCCGCACCCGAAGAATCAGTAGAAATGCTCCGAAGGGTTCGCTTGAAAAACGGTCCGCGGAAGGGCATGCGGAAGAGACGACGCGCCGTAACTCAGCAGTTGCCAACGCTTCCAGGCGCGGAAGGCTGCGATAGCAGTGGCGGAAGGGCTGCGCGGAAAGGTTTTTTGGCTCCAGAATGAGTCAATGAAACAGACTTTTAAAACACCGCTCGAATGAAGTGTGTCCCACACGATCCCTAAAGTAGGCTACTGGGTAGCACCCTTGTTGAAGAGAGTTGCGCTTTCTTCTGAGACGCCTCTGCGGGCAAAGAGCTGTCAAAGACAGTTCAGACGCTTGAATTTGGGGTTTTGGATCCTCAGCCCGACTCTAAAAGGAAGAGCCTGATAGCCTGCATCCGGAAGCCGCGGGGAACGGAGCTCGGGGCTTCGGGTTACCTTACACTCCAGACTGATCCAGTGTCGTTGTCCGAATCCTTGGGTCATGAATCAGTACCGCTTTGCGGCGTCGTGGGACTCGATGCTGTATAATTACGTGGTGATGGTTGCTTGGGCATCCGAGTGGTTCTCCAAAGTGGAGTCCCTGACAGGGTCCTGATCACGAGAGTGCCGAACTACTCTGCAGATCCCTAAACGGACCTAAGAAGTTTTTGAACTTCCAAATCCAAGTCTACGCCCAGGTGCGCAAGTGGGGATACGATCCGGTCCGAAGCTCAGTCCGCCGACATGTCCGAGTGCCTTCGCTTCATAGGGGTGGGTTTTGGGGCTCTCGGTTTGGGGCTCTGAGTGTCGGAGTCTAGAGTTTCAAGGTTACGTTGCCGTCTGAGTTTGAACAGGCTTGACTCGCATCGCCGGGCAGGCCCCGCAATATCATCACCATCGTCATACCCATCATCCTTCGTGATCACAATCGTGTCCCTGCATCGGGGAGGCAGAAGCTCAAGACGAAGAGTACCACATATTAATGAACATTCCGTATCATAACAGGGCAGTGAGGCGCTTTTGAAGCCATCTGAGCTCGGGAACGTGCCAGACTGCCGACTGTTACAAGATGGGTAAAAACGAATATCAAGCACATTGTTTTGCTTCATGGTGCAAGGCAAACCCTCTCGGTGGGGAGCTGGAGGCCTGCGCCGACTTTGGAAGTCGACAGAAGCCGTGCTCAGTTTCGAATTTGTAGGATTATCAGAGTACAGGCAACCTGCGAATACCAGACAACTCGACCTTCGACGCGAGCCCTGAGAGCAGCATCGGATGAGCAACAACAACTGCCAAGCAAGATGATCCCGAGCACCTTCTGTTGAACCCAAGCTGGCTGCAGTTACCTGCGATGAAGTCTATCTGTCTCGGCTTTCGAGTGCTGCAGAACAACCGCTTGCGGTCCCAACGATAGCTGAGTCAAATCAACCCGGAGGTTCCACGCACTTTGGGGGCCATAGCAAAAGCATGTACTGCTCTTTGGGGTGGGTACGGTTCCCTATTGATTTGGCCCAAAATTAACTCATGAGGCTGCGTAGGACATTTCCAAAGCGCCCGCCACAAAGCCTCCACCCCAAAGATGTAGACGTATGTATGATGCATGGATGGATGGACGGACATACGGAAACATGTAGAAACAGATGTGCAACAGTATAAGTACCATACCATACAGATACTCTGCCAGGCCACCTGGCGGCTGGAAGTTCTGGGCTGGGAGCTCCATGAGGCTCTTCGTCGCACGGTTTGCAAAATGCCTGGAACCTTACCTTACATAATTGGCATAATATTACCCTTATAGGCCCAGTATGTCTGCCCTTGTGATGATTCTCGCTACTACTGCTTGTGCCTGATACGAAGAAGATCCTTACGGGGCTTGGTAGTACTGCTTGCCGGCACGTCCGATCGGACTCCTTGTCGGAGAATCCCTTTAAATGAATGCTGTCCCTTCTCTGGCATGGCTTGACACTTTGCTGCATGACCCCGAGCGTGTATGTATATCAGTATATCTGTATACACAGCATATACACGCACGCAGACCCAGAGACGGTTTGACATAAGGTTTGGAGTGCAAGATATGATTGACAGCAGCCAAAAACAGCGTTCTTCTCAAGGGTAGTGGCTCGATGCAAGGGCTAGCTTCAGCTTTGGGAATACTGGCGCGCATTCTGGTGGAGTCATTCCTGGAAGGGGCGGGCTAAACGAATCCCTCAACCCCAAACCCTAAAACCCAAAAATGCCTTCAGTCCCAAGTCCGGAAAAGCGTCACTCGAACTAAGCCGGCATACCTTAACCATCCTTAAGCGGGTCCGGAGGATGCCACTTCTGGGCCACCGGAGCCGGGCCCATCGCAGGAGACGGCTTGAGGAAGGAAGCTCTAGGCGGTTATCGGGTGCTGGGTTTAGAGTTTGGGGTTTTGTGGGTCTTTGAATTCAGGTTTTTTAGGAGTTGCAGAGGGGAGGGGCGGGTTATTGGTTGAGGGTTTGAGGGCTGAGAGTTCGTGTCTGCAGGATCATTCGGGACGGCTTGGCTTTGAAGTAGTCAGGGCTCTTCTTTCGTGCTTTGGGCATTCGTCTTCTTCAGAAGAACCACGATGGCACTTACGATGCTTCCTTCTTGCCTCTGCCATTTGCAGACCTGTGCTGGGCCGAAGTGTATCCCAAGACCTAAATCCTAAACCCCCAGGCCCAGAATCTTCAGTCTTAAGCCCAACCATGCCCAAGCCCCACCCAAACTTCCCAACATGCAGACCTGATAAGCCCTTTACAAATTTTTCGTTAACAACTTTATTCCGCAGTGATAAAACCTCAACGGGGATTTCAATCCCAAGTCCTAGTCCCAGCCTTTTTGCACGAAGGCCCTGAGCCCTAAAGGCCCTTAGCCTGAAGGGGTTCCCCTTCCAGGAGCAGCTGCGTGAGCTGTGTCGCCGTATGCCGGACGGCCCAGCCTTCGCTGGGCTCTGGCAGCCCGTGGCGTAGAAAAGAGCAGCAGCAGGTCTGGCGTTTGGGGTTGTGGAATGTTGTGAATTTGGAGTTTGGGGGGCTTTGACGGTTTACGGGTCACGAGCCTGACGTCTGCATGCTTTAACGACGTCCGTACAGATCCTAGTGATCTTACAGGCTTGTAGGGTTTGGGGCTGTAGAGCTGAGGTCTTAATGTAATGTCGCAAATCAGCGAAGCCCGGTCTAACCATCTGGACCCATGTCTTAGGGTTTGCCGGCACGTCCAGCACAGCCGGCGCGTTGCCATCTTGGCTGCAGGGTCTTGCCAGTACGCGTACTGGCAGAGGACGGCTGCGCAGAGCAGCATAAAGAACTCGCAAAAATCGCGAAGTCCCCATTTCCAGCTGACACACCAAGGTGGAGGACTTGTCCATACTTTGGTCATCCTGCCACTTCCAATTGGCACACTTCCTAACTACAGCACACCCTGCGACCCACTGGATCAGACAACGCAGCCGGCACATCTTCAACGACACAGAGCAACAATCCATGCTTTCCCACCATGGATGCTGCTGATCCGCTCGAGCCAAGTGACGGTGGGCCTGGCAGATGACTGGTTTGTGGGATCTGGGGCTCAGCAACAAAAGCCCTTCAAATGCTTTGCCGATGGCTGGCATCATATGCAACTTGACCCCAAAGAAGTTTTTTAAGCTTCAACCTGTTGCCAAACCTGCAAAACAGACAAACAGGTCTGAGCCCAAGAAGAAATAGACCTCTCCCATCCCACAGCCACAGAACCTCCCGAAATCTTGAACCTTTCAGACAATCAGGGAACCTTAAAACCCGAAATCAACAGCCTTGCTATCGCTTCCAGGTGACTTGCCGGCACCCTCGACGCCACGCCGCCTGGCCCGGGGGGCGGAGGAAACCCGGCATTGGGTTCAGGGCGTAGGATGGCGTAGGTTTCAAGGTTCAGGGCAGGGTTTTGTTTGGCTTTGGGGTTCCGGGGTTCAGCCCTTGCGCTGTTCTGGGGCTCTTCGTTCTCGGGGCAGGCTGCATGGTAACATGCTGGAGTCATCCCTCGAATGATCGAGGAATGACATGAGCATAAAGCGGAGGCTCCGATAGCCCTCGACCCGCCAGTTCATGAAGTTGTGAGAGAAACTTTTCTGGCAGTGTTCGGGGGAACCGGGCGACCGAATGTACATCCGAAAGAGTCGGATCCTTAAAATATGAGGCACCCCTGATTGTAGTTCCCCTCACTTACAACTTTTCTCACCCTCTGTCACAGTTCTGAAACCCTGCAAACGGTAAGGCGCCTTCTGAAATACACGAGTTCTCCACAATGTATATTTGGAAGACCCGCCGTCAGACGCCGCTCGATTTTTCCTGAAATTTTCAAGGGCGTGGACGTTGAGTCAAGGAGCTTAGCGGTTTTTGTAGGGTTTTCAGTAGTTTTAGGGTCTGTTCAAATTGCCGCAGCGGAGATAAATCGTGAATAGTATGAGTTTTTGATCATGGTGGCTGACATGAAGTTCCGCATTTGAACACAATCTACACCTCCCTGTTGGAGGTTCTCCGCATTCTGGTTCAGAGTTTCGTATACTCTTTGGAGATCCAGACGGCTTCCCAATCCAGGCAACTACGAACGTAACTCCGAAGTAACCCTCAACCTGCAAAGCGTCCTGTTGTTGTGTTCCTAAACAGATATCCTGGAAAGCAGGACGACAGCCCAGAGCGAACACCCGGCCCTGGCGAAGGCGCCCAGCAACGTGGAATCCGGAAGTGTTGCTGCACAGCTTGGGCTCGGATTTACATGATTTCGGTTTGGGGGTTTGTTTTTTTCTTGGGTGGTTCAGGTTTCGCAAGCCCGAGGCTTTGCTCAAGAGACACCGGTTTTACACAGACTGTGGACTGAGGGGTCGCCTAAGGCGGGCCGCGGCTTTGGAGTGCGGCCTCACTCCAGTAGCAACACTCTGCATCAAGGGGGGGGGTCTGTCAATGAGACATGGGATGTGCAGCAGGCTGACCTTGACCCCAAATCCAAATGTTCAGAGTTGAGCCAAAAGCACAGCTCTCACTGTCCCGCAAGCGGAACGAGAAATCACTTGCTTTTCCTTTCGGCGCAGGCCCCTAGACAACTGTATGTAATGCCTTTCCGCTCCAAGCTGGAAATTCTCTGGAGGAAGTCCAATCGACGCCCCCGACGCAGATCTCCTCCTCGAGGCATGCTTTGACAGAGCTGTGCTGCGGAATCCGTTTGCTTGATGTTTTGTGTGGTTGAGCAGGATGATCTCTGATGATTTCAACGCAGCGGGCCAGATGCTCGTCTATACTCGTTGTTTCCCCGTTCATGCGCTCTTGCTCCTTAGACCCTAAGCCTGGAAACCTGAGAGCAAGCCAGGAACAGTCAGTGCTTGAGAGATGGCCCTAAACTTCTGCGGGGGTAGATCTCTGAGAAGCTTGCAATCATGCACATTCCCCTAAGCATCCGAAAACCTCAAATGTGCTCAAAGTGCTGGTTTGGCTAGCATCATCACTAAAGGCCTCGTTTTTTAAGGTTCTGAACAGAGTATTAATATGATATATGAAAGTCCTAGGATTTCACGCACTTCAGTCCAATTTCGAGTGCTGTATGATGTTCGAAGTACTTGAAGTGTGTATTTACCGACAATCTCTTCTTTTTCGATGGGTTTCCAGTTCTCTACAGTTCTGGAACGTAGGTAGGATTTACAGACATATTGTTTTCTGGCCACAAATATACATTTCTTGACCTTTCTATATAAGTGTTCTGCAAAAATGAACTCCCAACTTTTGCATTTCTCGGCCAGTCACATTCGCTGTTGTAGTTCTAGACACGTGCACGCAGATACAAAATCATGTACGTAGCCCTAACAGGGTTACAGAAACTTTTCCCTAAAGACGTCGAACGACATAGTTTCATATATACATATTTAGTTACAAATTACATCTACATATCCAGAAACCACATGTGTGTATATATATATATATATATAATATGTTATATATATATGTGTATATATATATATATATATATTTATATTTCATGTGTCTACGATTATATGAAAGCCTGGAAATTCTCCGTCCACTTGCCGGCTGCCCAGGAGCATGCCGGGCATACATATAGATATATGTAACATATTGGGTTCTTGCATATATATGTACGACCCAGACCTACAACTGTAGCCTGAGTCCCTTATCCAGGCACTATCTATATATATATATACATGTATGTGAATACAGACATATATATATACATACATACATATATACATATATTTGTATACATATGCATACAGAGACACACGTTGGCAGAAGCCCCAGCTCCGATGCATTCATAATTCATGGCCGGCCAGTGTCTGTTAGCGAAGCCAGGCGGAGGGGGTGGGGGTCGTGGCTTCGTTGGGATTAGTCTGGATCATGAGTGCCATAAAATCAGGGAAGCGAGCATTTGGGGTGCTGTAGTGCAACGGGTCGAGCTTGGTCTTATTTTTGCATGTTCTGCCAAAGTTTGCTTTCCAAGATCACTATATTTGGAAGAGTAGGTTTTGGGTGTTCTTGGGCTTCGGCTTTCCAGTGCCATGCATTAAATATGTGCGGGCCAGGGGCATGTAAACATACATATATTCACATATATACCAAGCCCTCAAGTCCAACCTCCGCTTCTGCAGAAGCATGGGCTCAGTCGTTGAAGATGACGTTACAAGTATTCATAATTCAACCACATACCTGTAGTATATATATATACACAAATATATACAACTATAATCCAGTTAGTTAGCTTTGTCGCATAGAAACCTCCAGGTACACTTGCCCCATTTTCTGAGCCCTGCTTCTCCCAAGGATCCGTGGCCGAACCGGCGAAAAAATGATAGCTACACGATGCTACATATGAACAAATAAACACATATGCGCATGTATATATGTGGAAATATACAGACCTACCTACCTACCTACATACCCCATGCATTTATTAACTGACATAATCAAAAGCACAGACGGAATAAAAGCAGCATAAGCAACCCAAGCAGCATTCAGTACATCCATATGTATATATATATATATACATATGTATGTATATGTATATGTATATGTAGATGTAGATAAATGTATACATGTACAGGCATACGTATGTTTATTTATCTACACGTTGAATACATGCCAATATTTCCCGGTGTGCATATATACATCTATATATAGATATATATAGATGTATACATATGCATATGTACATACATTCACCTATGTGTGTATGTGATTGTATATGTGTATATGTATACGCACAGGTTTACTCATACTTGTACATATATATATATATATGTATCATGTATGCATATGTCTATACATAAATGATGTACATACATATACATATATATATATATACATACAGATATGTATATACTTGTACATATGTCGACATTTGCTAATATATTTGTTTGCTGTATGGACAATAGACTTATACGTATCTGCGATACAATATAACATTATCTTTACATGCATGTTTCTTCATAAAAAGCGCTGCAACAGAATCTTGCAGCTTTGTCTTGAAGCGTGAAAGAAGTCTGGACAAACCTGAAAGCGTGAAAAAGCGTGAATCCGCGTGAATTGGCGTGAATTGGTTCTGGGCCGAGTCCTCGGAATCCGAGTCCTTTGTAGCCAAAGGCCTCAAATATCAAGGTCTCGGCCGAAAGGGCGTGAAACAGCGTGAATTCGCGTGAATTCGTGTGAGCTCCAGGTGTGTGGGTTTGTGTTGCAGGTGCGTCGCTCCCTGGGTTTTTCGGCGCCGAGCTTCCGCGAAGCCCGTGCTGCTCCCCATTTGTTGCCATCGGCAAGAAAACCTAGATCGCGGTTGAGTTTCTGCAGATGGCAGCAACCGCCAAGGCTGCCAAGGACTCCCGGCAAGGGGCTGTGACCAGCTTGAACGGTGTTATTGCCCAAATGCTTTGATGTATACACACATATACACACATACTGACTCACATTCCTGCCTTATCAACCGGAAGCATCATCGGAGCCTCCAGCTCGCAAGCGGTAGCGACCACCACGATCGGAGGCCAAGACGAAAGCCACGGCTAAACCCACAACCACCAAGACTCCCTACACAAAGAAGGGCCGAATCTTGGCAGAGGCACCTGACACAGTGGTGCTTGGAGGCGGTCATTTGTATATACATATGTACACATAGACATATACATATATACATTTATACATATGTACATATACACATATACACATATATACATATATATATATACATATACATATGTACATATATACATATGTACATATATACATATATACGTATATATATATATATATATATATGTATATGTATACACAAAATAGAAAAAGCTGTATCTTTTTATCTATAGATACATGTTGATACCGCAAACATAAGCAAACATCTCATACCATTTAAAACTTCGACTCTGTAACGACTATGTATGTGTAGAACATGTAATATACTGTGGCTTTTACAACACATGAGTATTCTGCATATATGTCAGAACAATATATCTGATAATACATAATCTAACCTCATATGTATGACCTCGGAAGTGTACAACATACAAAATGATGTTGAAGCTGCAATAAACATATATGACTATGTATACATATACCGGATGTTTACGCAGAACCTATTGAAAAAACAATCATGACATGGTTATTTCGTTCCTGCACCACATATAAATATACAGAACCTGAAAACAACCACAACATGGCTATATGTTTATTGCAAACATATACGTATCCATTATGCATATACAAAGATATATGTATAGAGCACAAACATATTTAGGCACAATGTATGCCCATATGTATGTGTACGGTAGTGATAATGGAGTTTTGTGCCTTTTTCATCCAACAACCGTCTACACAGAATTACACAGATATATATATATATACATAGATACATATGTATAAATATGTAAAGGCATATGATTATGTAGCATCATAAAAAGCAATTACATATACGTGAACTGAAAATTCCTTGGCATCTTATGGTGTATATGTATATCTATCCGTATATGTAAATAGATATATTAACTCGCATTTCAACATAACTCAACATATGACTCATGAGATGACGCCACAGAAAGCCACCACGACCCAAGCCACTGCCGCGCCACCACGAACACCGCTACCACCAGCACCAGTGAAAACGACATCGGCACCATAATTGCCAGCATTGCTACAACCAGCCACCACACCACCACCACCACCACCAGCACCAGCAGAAACAACAACAACAACAACCACAGCCACAACCTCAGCCACAGCAACAACAACAAGATAAACAGCAAGAGTAAAACATATCAGCAGCGATTGGCCTTCATGTAAAAATGATTTGATGGTTAAACTTGATTTGTGGAACTATACGACGAGATCACATGCACAGATAGAAAGAAAACAACTATATATATATATATGTATATATATATATATGTTTATACACACACATGTATATGTATGTGTATATGTACATTGTGATCTGTTTGAACCCCATTTGAGCAGACACATGCATGCAATTTGCGATCTATTTACACACGTCTTATGTTTTGCTGCATTTCACTGCAAGATGTGCTACATAGAACGGCCCTTATCAATTTAATTTATATGATATCGCTTCCAATATGTCGCGTGATTACATACGTCCCCCAGAGTATTCTGTTTTTCGGCATGTTTATAGTTTGTTTCAACCTACTTCACAAGTTGATAGCACTTATGTTGAACCGCTTCATGTTGCTATTGTTCCGGAACCTCAAAATACAAGGTCTTGGGATTAAGACCTCAAAAACCAAGGCCTTCACCAACATAGGCACATTTGAGCACTTTGGATGCTTAGGGTTCAGCAGTGACACACATACGTGCAACTCCTGAACCCGTGAGCCTGAGCCATTGCGCGCTTCTCCAAGCGACGACAGTTTGGGGGCAACTCCGCGTTTCAGGGTTCGGAACTATCCCACACATGGTCGAACACAGTGGGGTTGTAGGGCTTTCGGGTCGCTACACCGACAACTTGGGAGGCGTCTGCTCGTTCGAACCGGCGTGCAGCTGCTTTACGAGGCGACTTGGCGTTATCTTGAGATGTGCAGAATTGCACAGGCATTTAGAGGGCATTCTATCGGATTTCAGGGATCTTCATTTAGAGCTGCTGAACCTCATGGGCTGTTCTATTTCTCGGTGCTGTTTGGCTTGCGGGTGGTCGCTGCATTGCATGTGCACCTTGAGTGACCGGATGCAAAACAGTGTGCAAACAAGTGCTATTCAGCCTCTGCCTGAGCCTTGGCGTTAAATGTTGGTGAAACATGCATTCTTTCTTCGATGGCGGGTGCTTTTTCAATGGTTTGACATAGCTAAAGCAGTTTCTCTATTACCTTTGCTTGAACCTCACGGCTCGGTGTTGCGGTTCGCAGATCTGGCCTGGCTAAGCCACATCGGGATCCCTTTCGTCTCTTTGTACGATGGTCGGTTTTCCCCAGACCAGGTCATTCCAGTCAGCCTAAGACAGACTACGCAAATGAGGAGCAGAATCGTTATCACACGCGGCGGAAACCCAAACTTCACACAAATCGGACGTACGGGCTGAGGCGTGCTGGAGGGATTGAGGCGGCCCGCCGTTGCGGTTGCTCGGGTCGGGTCCCTGCGAGTCCCTCGCCAGAGCATTGAATTGCACACACCGTTCCTTTCGTTGGATGTTCATGCACCCTCTTTCCCATAGCCGCTTAGCTTAGGTTTGGGGCATGCAAAGTTTGGGTGCAACTAAAATGTTTTGTGCTCATGATGAGGTTTAGCTGGCAGGCCCAAGGATTCGCAGTGTGATCCTGCGCTTCGGGATTCGGGTTTCAATGCTGTAGTGTGGGGGGCTTGCTCAATTCCTTGTAATGGCCACGATTGCATGTTGCATTGTAGCACCCAGCGACCTCATCCGGACTCTGCAGAGACCATGTTCTTGTCATGTGCTATTTGATCATGGCTTCTGCCGAGCATGACAGCGATGCTGGCTGGTATGGCTAGTTTGATATGTAGTGTCAGTGTGAGTATCATCAGTAACAGAGCCGCAACCCTTCATGTCGCTGCCACCTGTCAGGATCTCGCGTATACCCCCACCTCTACCTGGCCACATGAGGCATCGAGCTGAACCTGCAGTCAGGGTTTGGGTCGAGAAATGAGTCAATGGGCCATGCTGGGTAGACCCTTGGTCCGGGAGAGTTGTCAGTGTTTCAAAACTAACCTCCTGCACAACAACCGCACCTGCGTGATCGTGGCTGGTTGACTGCAAGTTGAACCTGAGGTAATTTTGTCCAGGGGCTACCCCCAGCCCTACTACGGGCAGGTCGGCGAAAAGCCTGCCCAAAAGTTCCGGAGGCTTTCATCCCTCTACCCGTAAATCAGGACGTTTGAACCTGCAAGCTCGCTACAGATGTTGATGTCAGATTGAGTTTAAGTCTGTGTTTCTGTGCGGAAGGTCTTAGAGGAACTGTCGAGACGGCTTCAGAGAATCCACACGGTGAAGCACTTGGAGCTTGCTATCCTGCACATGCACAACGAACGAATGAAGGGCGGACTGTGGACGCTTTTCTTCGAGTACTGGTCTTTGGGTAATTTGGGCCGAGGATGCCATCTCACCATCGTGCATCGCAAGCTTAGCACTCTCTCAGAGAAAGCCTTCTAGTAAAAGCCCCACATTACCGACAAAGCCGCAAGCCAGAACGCCGCAAAGCCCAAGTCAAGAAGCGTCTTCGGAGAGGCGGCAGAGTGCTTGGGGTTCCCCTGGCTCGGAGCAGGCCCCGAGGTTTCAGGGATCTAAAAGTGCGGTGGTCGAGGCCTTAGGAGCACCGATGTCTTGTGACTATGCATGTTTGCTGCTAGTGTTGGGCACATCATCTCCGACTTTCGTTGAAGCTTCAAGGCTGGGGCTGGTCAGGAGGGCCTGGGAAAGTCCAGCTTCAAAAGGGCCCAGTCAAGCAATCGAAGCCTCACTCCTCGACTACCACGGGCCTGCCTAACCTGCCAGCCTTCTTACTCCCCACTTTTTCTGTGCGCTGACATTGCTATGCCGCCGTAGCATTCTACAAGTAATGATTCTGCACATGAAATCACTCCGGGTTTGAATGCCTACTTCATCCCATGCAGCCACCCTACACCACCCGATCCCCCGAAGCCCAAACCACATCCCAAAGCCCAAATCCCAAAGTAAGTCCTTCAGTGTCTCAAAACCCTCCAACTCCGCAAAGTCCAGAGAGCGTGGGCTCTGGAGGTCCTCCCAGAGTCGCCGTCGGCATCGGAAGGCGGGTACAGCGGGCTTTCCTCCAACTTTGCCACTTTAGGGTTAGAGCTGGTTCCATGGCTTTGAGGCTTGACCGGAGACAGAGGCGTCCGAAACGGCGTGAGACCCCTGACACACAAGCCGGAAGCGCCTCAACCACAAGTCGCATAGCTTCCCGGAGCCTGAAACCCCCCCCAAACCCCAAACCCCTCTCTCTGCGTCTTTGGAAATGTTGAGGCGCGGAGCGAGAGCGAGCTTCCCCTCCGACCGACTCCACTCGCCACGAGGACCCCGCCGCCTCGGCGCGGACCGATTTTTTCGGTACTAGCCACAGCCATGGCGGATTATGGTGGAAGACTGCAGGAGCCGCGGCGCGCACCACCGCAGATGCCAGCACCCAGAGGAGTACCTGCAGGCAACTTCACCCCTTCGCTGCCGTACCTCGTGGACGGGGGCTAAGGCTAAGGGTCCAACATCGACCATCTTTTCTTGAGCCCTGGCACCAGGATCCTCGTCACGGTCTTCATTGGCGGATGGGGTGGGGTCTTTTGATGAGGGTGACATTATAGCCGCTGCAGAACCTATGTAATGGCATCTTCGTCCGCGGCCTTCGCCGATGTAGTGCACAAGCACCAAAACTTAAAGCCTTCCAGACATCTGTAGAACTCTTGAGCTTTGCAAAAGCAAGAGCCGTCGGCTCAAATGCATGGCTGCTGGCACAGGCGATTTCGGACCAGCCTCCCTCCTCTTCAACGAGGAGGAGGCCAGCAAGTCTAGAACTGGGCGGTTTAATGGCTTGGGGTTGAGTGGATTGGGAGTCATCGGGGTCTTGGGGTTTGCCGTTTAGCGATTGGTTTTGGGAATCTAGGGTTCAGGGCTTGGGGTTAAGGATTTTGAGGCGCAAGGTTGAAAGTTTGGCGCCACATACCCAAAACTCCCTGAGCACTCGATGCCGCTAAGCAACGCACCCACTCAAACGCCCAGCACCTGAAAGAAGACAGCGAAGCCATCAAAGAAGCCACAGCCGAACAACCCCCAAGCCCTGAATTAAGGAATATATTTTGAATAAATTCCTCAATTCAGGAATCTTTAGCCGCAAATTTGTTCGCTCGTCCTTGGATTGGAGGCTCCAGAGCCGGGCCAGGCCTCGTTCGCCCGGACGCACCGCTGGCGAGTTTGGGTTCGTGATCCCTAGGGCTCCATGTGCCCATGTAGTCCTTTAAATAAAGTATATACTCAGGCCTTGAAGGGGTGCCGAAAAAGGCCGAGTTTCTCCGTCTTTGAGAATTGCGGCATTACGAGGGTTGCTGTTGAGGGCTATTGTTGTGTGCTTCTGCTGCTTTTGGGTGTTATTGGCTTTGACAAAGGTGTGGAGGGGGAGGAAAGGTTTAGGCTTTTCTGGGATAAGATGTCTCGGGGCAGGGCTGTGGCGTTCTTGATGCTTAGATGCTTCCAGGCTGTCTGAAGTTTTAGACAAAAAACCAGTAATCGCTCTCGAGCACCCCATCCACCTGAAGTACCGTTTGCGTGACAGTGGTGTTTGGGAGCCTGGCATGGCTTCCTCATCTATGACTGCAGTTTATGCAAGCCTCATCAGTATCAGTCCCTTCGAGGCCCGGTAACCCTTGCTCTGCCAGGGTGGAAGCATTCCAGCTTGAAGCACAAGAGGCGGCAATGGGGGCGTTGATACCGGTGAGCCAAGAAATCCCCCAACCCCAAAGCTCGGGGTTTGGGGAGTATCCTGAAGAGAAACCCTTGCGAACTTGCTGAAAGTTGAAAGCCATAGGCGCAGAGCCCGAAGCCGCTTGGGGACGCTCTGAACCCGAAATCTGGAAAGGCGCGGGATGCCCTTGGCCGGAGCGAGGCGGAGCGGTCACTTCAAGAAGGCACAGTGCCTCACCGTGTTCAGGTTTTAGGAACTCCGAGCGGAGATGTAAAACTCAACTTAGCAACGTGCTCGCATGACTCACGTCACGGATCAATGCCAGACCCGGACTGTTGACAGCTCTGCGGTTTAGCCACTGTGGGGTTTATCCAGACCTTAGTTGGGGTTGTTGGGCGTTTCCAACCCCCTGTGACATCAGGACAAGCGGCGAAGCGTGAGGCAGACCTGCGTCGGGAGCCTCGGTTTTCCGATCTCAAGGGTTCAGTGGCCCATCTACGACCAACCTAGGATCTATACACTGGCATGCACTAGACAGGGTTTACACCCCCAACAGGAAAGGCACAAAGCCGGGACAGACGAACACTCTAAGCCCAAAGCCCCATGACCGCCAAAGTTGAGCTTGAAAACCTTGGGCAGCTGCCAGCGACGTCTGAGTCAGGACATGAGATTATCGACCTCCGGCCCCCTTCTCGGATCGTGTGAATTGTGACTTTGCATGAGCGGTTCTATCTCATTCAACTCTGACCCTAAACCCTTCAACTGACGATGTCGGATGATACTCGTGGCTGTTTTCATCATGTTGTTGGAAAGCCCGAGAGCAATGCGAACCTGGGGTCAGTCTTCCGGATGTGGTCACAATATGTCACAGCGAGGGGTGTCCTCAGTTTTCTAAGGCCTACTTCGCATGCGCCTTTCATGCTAGATACAATCTGTTGAATCTCGCATTCCAAGCGCTAGGTTTCGGAGCGACACTGCACCCCTGCCCGGGAATATGTCTTCGTGCCTTAGACGCGTTCAAAAACAGAAGTAGTCCCCTATCCATGCTAGGGTCTTCAGGTGCTTCAGCGCAACAAGATTCCCACAATCCTCAACTCCTACGGACCTACCCTGAATACTTGCGATTGAGGGCTGCAGGAAGCCTAGAAGTCTATTCAGGATATCTCGGAGGTTCGGAACTTTACATGTCCCAAGTTTCTAGTCCCTTTCTGATTCTTGAGGCTCCTCTATCGCTGCACTTCCAAGGTCGGCTCAGTCCCGGGAGCGCGAACGGCTTCGGAGCGAGGCGAAACGTTTGCAGCCGCCCGCTGGAAGTTAATGGATTTCTTAATGGGATTGGGCAACTTAAAAGGATGGGATTCTCAGGTTTCTAGCGTCCAGAGAGTTTAGGGTCCACCAGCACGGTCGAAGTGTCGGGTGGTGTCCTGCGCCTCCGAATGTGGAACATGATGAACCTAGCGTCTCATTGCTCGGACGCTGTGACGATGGAAACCTGGTCTTGACTTGATCTGAAGGTGGAATTTCACACATGACTTGGTTAGCCTTCCATGGTGGGTGGCGCTTATTTCCGATCGCAGGACGAAGCGGTGCAGTTAGTGGACGAGATGGAATTGAGGATTCAACTCATTCGGTTGTTGCATCCATGCGGCGAGAGTTAACAACGAGATCGGGGGCTGTCCAGGATCTGGAGGTTGTCCTCAGCTAGCCACCTATCCCAGGTTCTGGCCCTCTTAAACGGGACCTATTCAGAGGGTCTACATCCCCAAGTTAAGGGTTCCCTTGATCGTAACTGGGACCTCCATAAGGGCCCATGACCACGAATCCACGAAGCCGAGGGCATCGCTCAAGGATGCCCACGTCCGGCTGAAGGTGCTCGGGGTTGCTTGCTTTCAGGTGGTCTGAATCCAGAAAAATCTTGGGGCCCGTATAATTAGACTAGTATTCTTGAGGGTTCCTTAATATGCGTATGTATGACTCTGAAGGTCCCTACAGTAGCTCTGCGGTAGAGGACAGTGAAGGATGCCCCTCGTGAGTGATGCTAGACTTTAGGGTTCTAAGGTCTTCGCCTCCAGACGTCACGGTTTATGCATCCTACGGGACTCAGGTCCTGCTCCGAAACCCAGATCGCTCAGCTCGAGCAGAGTTGGGAAGCAGAAGCTCTCAGCAGCGAAGCCGCTGCTTGAAGATGCCTGAAGCCAACTGCAATGACCCACACCTCAGAACCCCCCCCAGAACTCCCCGTGCCTGCATCGCCGGCCGAAATTCTAGCGGCTCAGCGGACATCGCCCGGGCACGCAGGAGACGAATCGGCAGGCCACTGTCCACTACGACTGCAGCGCTGTTTTTGCAGTTGCAGTCAAGTGTCTTTCAGAGTGTAATGCTTAGCAACTGATTGGTGCATACCAAAATGACAAAATGAACGGGTGAATGTGAGTATAGCTATAGCCATGTAAACAGTAAGTAGATGAAAGCACAACACCAACAACAACAACAACAACAACAACAACAAGGTACAAACAAAAACTGCAGCCCCGTCAACCCATATATCTGCTTTTTGTCTGTACATTAGGTAGAAACAAAAACAGGAGCCCAGTCATGTTGTTTTACCCCCCCCCCCCACAACAACAACAACAACACCACAGTGCCTGTGGATGCCTGTGATGTATACTGTTTGGTGTGTATTTTCAGTGGATTTGGTGTGTAGTTCAATGGATTTGGTGTGTATTTCAATGGATTTGGTGTGTATTTCAGTGGATTTTATGTGTATTTCGGTGGATTTGGTGTGTATTTGGTGTGTATTTCAGTGGATTTGATGTGTATTTGGTGTGTATTTCAGTGGATTTGGTGTGTATTTCAATGATTTTGGTGTGTGTTTTCAATGGATTGTTCCCCGCCGTGCAGAATATGCATTTGCGAGGCCTGTACAAACTACTGTAAAGTAACTAGTAACTATAGTTTGAGTGTACGGGTATCCAATGCAAACCCCTCAGAATTCCAGACAAGCCCTTCCAACACCCATCAGAACCCCTTTCTGGATATCGCAGATGCCTATACCTGTGGTGGAAATGTGGTGTAATGTGGGCGGTTGTTGTAAAGGGGGGGTGGTCAAAACAACAGACGGGGCTCCAGTTTTGGCCTCTACTACAGGGGGTAGAGACAAAGTCCTGATTTCGGCGGTGCCTTTGTCTCTACCCCCTGTAGTAGAGGCAAAAACTGGAGCCCCGTCTGTTGTTTTGACCCCCCCCCTTTTACAACAACCACCCAGCCTACACCGCATTTCTATCATGGGGCAGGCATGGCTTGAACTTCCCAAAACTCTACAGGCACCCTATGCGGTCGCCGGAAGCATTCCCAATTGCTTCTAATTAACAACAAGTACGGGCTGCTGTTTTTGTCTGTACCAACAACAACAACAACAAGCTAAAAACAAAGACTGCAGCCCCGTCAACCCATATATCTGCTTTTTGTCTGTACATTAGGTAGAGACAAAAACAGGAGCCCCGTCATGTTGACAACAACAACAACAACAACACCAACAACAACAACAACAACAACAACAACAACAACAACAACAATTTATTGGACGCTGAGCGAGCGGGCTCTGCTCATTGCGGGCGAGCAGAAACTTCGGAAGCGTGCCATCCCCGAGTGTGCCGTGAGCCAGCGCCACCGAGGTGAGCCATAAGCCAGCACCATTCCCTTAGAATCTGACCTGCCGACATTCTTATAGAGGTTACGCGGTCTTCGCCCGGCGGCCTTGTAAAGAAAAAGAAACAGACTGGCGCTTTGCGCGAGGGGACTGCCCATGCGAGAATCGCAGGTACCTCCTTCATCCGTTTCTGAGAACTACGACCGAAGTCAGGCCCCGAGGCCTCGCGTAAAACAAGCCAAAACGAACTGACCTAACAAAACCAACAGAGAAGACCGCGCAACCCCTATAGGATCCTCAGTGAAGGAAAAAGAGGAGCCGATGCTACAAACGTTAAAAGAGAAAGGGCCTAAGTCAAGAAGAGCAGCGCTGCAGACTGTACACAGCAGCAACAGCTCTTGGGCACCAGCCTCTAGGGGATAGGCCACAAGAAGTTGACTTCAGTTACAAAGGCGTTGCCCGTTTTGCACGCGAGCGATGCCCGAAACTCCTAACGTGACAGCCCGACTCACAAAGTCGTCGTCATGTAGCCTCCGTCACCCTCAGTGTGAGTCATTGCGTCCAATACTCACGAACTGGCAGCCGGTGGGTCGTACTCAGAAGAGCCGTCTCCCAGAGTTCCCGTCTAGTGGCGTCCCACACTAGGTAACTCCCGACTACCAGCGATGGGCCGTAAGGATAATTCGTCGTCAAGCAAAAACACGTGGGCCGTCACTCCTAGCACTGCCTGACCCCGTCGGTAACAGGACAGTAACGAACACACCTGGGAGGGCCGTAGCCGTAGCCCGACACCCATAGCACAGCAAGCGCGTCCGCTTAACGACTGTACCCAGATGTGACGTGGAGCCGTACCAGGTAGACACCGTGCTGGAACTGAAGACGTTGGCCAACTCTGCTGAACCTGAGTCCCCAGTGTCCCAATCTGCGCCTTGTCTTGTAGACAAGTCTGGCCCGGCGGCCCCCGAGAGGCCTCCCCCTCAAGAGAGGATAGCCCCTCTAGGCCCTCAAGGGCACCCCATAGCAAGAGGAGTCCCTGGAATGCCCGTCGGGGCCAGCATTGGGAGGATGCTGACGCGTTGTGAGTCACCACGTTGCGCCTAGCCTGTCCTGAGTCTGACTTGCTCCCAGGCGCTGGCGGCTGAACAGAAGTGAAGCGCAGAAAACACTCAACCGTGACGAAGAACTCTCGATCGCACTGGCTTCGTAGCAGCTGGTGGCAGTCCACTGTGCCGTTGAAGGAAAAACTAGTGCTCGAAGAAGACTGCATGAGAATACCAGACGATCCGTGTCCTTCTTGCGGAGGTGTACCAGTTAAAGCGCAAAACCAGAGCGCCAGCAAAACTGCGCAGGAGAGACCTTGAGCTGTACCTGGGTGTCTTGTCGTGTAGCTGGAAAGTCGAAGAGAGGAGCGGAACGAGGCCTCAACTCGAAAGCTTCCTTCAGGATACCCAGGTGCAGAAGATGGCCAACCCATGACTGGGGCCGCCCCTTGAATGGCTTGGTGCGGCAGGTCCTTTTGTAAATGTAAAAGCATCGGCAGGAGAAAAGTACTGAGGCACAGTCGACGCGCCTTCCGCTAGTTTCGCCGGAAAGAGAGAACTCGATCCGACTCCTTTCACCCCGCGGAAAGGTGAGAACCCTACCGCTTACCTCTTGCCAAGGTTGTATAACTGCAGACAGAGGCCCGGGAATTGGGACCCGGTAGAACACAGCGGCGCGCGGCTCCGGGAATAGCTATGGCTCAAGAGGACAGTCCCTTAAGCTTCGCAGAAGGGGGCCGTTGCGAGCCTCTAGCGTTGGTACCCAGAGCCTTGTTAGCAATGCTACACAGCCTGCTGTGATCCATAGCGGCTACAACAACAACAACAACACTGTGCCTGCGGATGCCTGTGATGTATAGTGTTTGGTGTGTGTTTTCAATGGATTTGGTGTGTATTTCAGTGGATTTGGTGTGTATTTCAGTGGATTTGGTGTGTATTTCAGTGGATTTGGTGTGTATTTCAGAGGATTTGGTGTGTATTTCATTGATTTTGGTGTGTATTTCAGTGGATTTGATGTTTATTTCGGTGGATTTGGTTGGTATTTCAAATGGATTTGAGTGTGTACTTCAATGGAGTTGATGTGTATTTCAGTGGACAAACTATTGTATAGTAACTGTTAACTATAGTTTTGAGTGTACGGGTATCCAATGCAAACCCCTCAGAATTCCAGACAAGCCCTTCCAACACCCATCAGAACCCCTTTCTGGATATCGCAGATGCCTATACCTGTGGTGGAAATGTGGTGTAATGTGGGCGGTTGTTGTAAAGGGGGGGTGGTCAAAACAACAGACGGGGCTCCAGTTTTGGCCTCTACTACAGTGGGTAGAGACAAAGTCCTGATTTCAATGGTGCCTTTGTCTGTATCCCCTGTAGTAGAGGCAAAAACTGGAGCCCCGTCTGTTGTTTTGAACCCCCCCTTTACAACAACCACCCAGCCTACACCGCATTTCTGTCATGGGGCAGTTGCTGTGTAAACCATGGCTTGCACTTCCCGAAACTCTACAGGCACCCTATGCGGTCGCCGGAAGCATTCCCAATTGCTTCTAATTAACAACAAGTACGGGCTGCTGTTTCTGTCTGTACCAACAACAACAACATAGAAATCCGTTTATTTGCTAACATTTTTTCATGTTTCTGGAGAGTCTGTATCTATACTGTTTGAAGTTCTAACCTTTCTTGGAAGTTCCACAAAAGAGCGAAGCCTAAATGCTCTGTCCCATATAAAAGTGAGCGGTCAGAACAGAGCGGAAAGCCCTAAAACGCTGGATCCTGCAAGCTTTTTCAGTTGCATAAACAAGTTTCTGCTTCAAATGTTGACACCCAACATATAAGGATCCCGAGCATCAGGACCCCTGAGTGAGGTCAAGCACCGTTAGCATCGACCCCAAAATAGGGACAGTAACCGCAACCCCCTCTTCCCCCGCTTCCTCAAGAACCAAAACCCTCCCGCGAGGTCATGGCCAGTGTTCCCAAGGATGCGCTTACCAAGGAGCAGCAGGCCGGAAAGGAGTTCGCCTATACTGACACGGGGATCTTCTTAGAGCTTGGGGGGGTAGCCGGGGAGTCCATGTTTCGACGTCCTGAGAATCCTGGTGAACCAGGACGAGCTGTTGTGCACCTATGCCGCCCTGATCCTGCACGATGACGGTGCTGCGACTGGGCTGCGCATTTTTCTTTGT